ACAAAAAGCGGTGTTGCGATAGAAAAAGTAAAAGTTTCTGAACTCTCAAGTTCATTTCACTGCATGTGTTTTTTTGCTCCTAACTGATTTTCATATTGTTGTTAGTTTCGCGAAGTATATATATATGTATATGTGTGCAGATGTGTGGGTCCGTATAGAGTGTATAGAGTGTGTGTGTGTAGTTTGCAAACTTTCGTAGGGTACAAGGAAAAACTTTTAAGCATTTTCAACACCCCAATTTCGGCGACTTTATCATGCCAAGTGTTCGGCGACAATTTTTCTTTTGGCTCAAACTTCATTGCAAAATGTCGCCTAACTTTCCAGCCATGTTCGTTTAATTGCTTTAAGGTATTGACTGTTTAAAGAGCCACTCAATATAAGAGACGATTCAACTGCAGAGCCACCATTCGATGTGATTTCGCATCAATCAAAACTTAGTTTGAGCTGCAAATGATGGAAAGTGATGTGCCCCGAAATGACAGTCAGCCGTCTGGCCCAAAGCCCCTGGTAATTTTCACAAAATTTAATGCATTTCTCTCAATCCAAATTATTGCAGAAGGTGTCTCGTGTGAATCGAAGGAGATAAGAGGACAACATCGTATAGATATAGGCACACAATACCCAAATACATTTACTTACTTGGGACAGACAATCACTCTGTGCAAAATAAGACAACCATAAGCCAACTCAAGCATACAATTGTTAGGGCATTAAAGGCAATGTATACGGATATACAATTGCAGATGCTTGTGCTATGTAGAATGCATGGCTTTTCGAGTGGAATACTCGTAGAGTAGATCGCCGGCCACGGGAGAGCCGGCCAGATGTGTACAAGAAAGGGATTGTGCAGCAACGACACTAAGAATAGCGCCTGTCAAAGTGCTGCAGACTCGAGTGTCAAATATATTTTAGCATTTTAAATATTTACATCTGGCATATGGCACTCGTAAGTGAGGTGCCAGCTCGTGGGCCGGACAGCCCTGAGATTAGGCCGAGAAGATGATGGCTGTAGCAGCCTGCTTTGTAGTCGCCCAGGGCCGGTACGCAGGGCCAAGAAAAGCCCCAGAGTCCTTAGAATTTATAATTGTAATTTAATTTGCATACACTTAAGCCATCCCATCCCCCGCTTGGGTTTGCGGGCCTCGCAGCACAAACACATGTCCAATTAAATGAATCATTTTTATGACCGAGTCAAGGCTGGGAAGCAGCCGCCCTTCCGCTCAGATTTTAAAACAATATATTTTAATATTTATGGCGAAAGTTTTGAGGATGGTTTTGTCTAGGCCTTTGAAAGGATTTAGCCGAGCGGCTGCCAAAATAGCCATAATAATCAACACAATGAGGATTACGCATAATGAAATCCGCAGCAAAGGCAGTTGACAGTTTTATTAAATTTTTCACACAATTACTCGAGATTTATTCGGGAAGGCGACTAATAAAGGCTGGCTTCCGAATGGTTTTTTATTTTCTATAAATTACTTAAAGAGTATAACAAAGGCAGTAATTGGAGAATAATTGTTGTAGTTCTAAAAAAATGCTTGAATTTCACAAATTATTCAAAAAGGGATTATAACTATGAGAATCCATATCATTGGAGATTATACATATATGTCTACCATAACTGGTAGACCACAGGTTGACCAACCACAGAAATAAATAAAAACGAGGGGGAACGTTGTGAGTTGCAGCGGACACCGCAACTCTACGGTTATACCCGATACTAAGTCAGTATGGCTCTCCTCCGGCAGACGCCGCTAATATTTAACGACACGACAAAGAGTGCGTGCGAGAGAGACAGAAAATCAGTCTGAGCGTGACGTCGGGCGCTGCGTAGCCACTGCAAATTGATTTGTTCCTTTTGGCTATAAAAATGATCTGATCTGATCCAGATTCAGCAATCTAATAGATATGGTCATTATCTATGATTCTGCGTTTTTAGTTTTCTCAAATCTGCAATATTGTGGATGCAACAGATTTTCGTCCTTTGTGGGGGCGGAAGGGGGTGGGGCGAAATTTTGAGATAAAGGTTTTATAGTGAGATCTAACAGAAGTGCGGATACCAGATTTGGTTACTCTAGCTTTAATAGTCTCTGAGATTTGTGAATATCCCCAGATTTGCATCCTTTGCGGGGGCGGAAGGCGGTGTGGCGAAATTTTGAAACAAACTCGTCTCGGTCCGATATATTAGGAGTGTGGATACCAAATTTGGCTGCTCTAGCTTTTATAGTCTCTGAGATCTAGGCGCTAATGTTTTACTCTAAGCAAAGCCGCCTATGCTACCTGTGTGTTAGAGAGAGACAGGGCGAGAAAAAATGAAATTGTTTTCTTGATGCTGGCTATAATAATAATACGATCGAATTCAGATTCTGCAGTCTAAAAGATATGGTCATTCTCTACGATTCTGCGTTTTTAGTTTTCTCGTATCTTTAAAATTGTGGATGCCACAGATTTTCGCCCTTTGTGGGGGCGGAAGTGGGCGGGGCAAAGTTTTGAAATATTTTTGGAGCAGTGACATATTACAGAAGTCTGGATCCAAAACATCGTTGCTCTAGCTCTTATATGTCTTTGAGCATTAGGCGCTGAAGGGGACGGACAGACGGACAGACGGACGGACGGACAGACAGACAGGGCTCAATCGACTCGGCTATTGATGCTGATCAAGAATATATATACTTTATAGGGTCGGAAACGATTCCTTCTGGACGTTACACACATCCACTTTTACCACAAATCTAATATACCCCAATACTCATTTTGAGTATCGGGTATAAATATACAATTATTGTTTTTCAACCTTTAAAACATTATTTATCTCTGTGGAGCTTTGAAACTTTTTAATTAATGGCCAATAAATCGTTTCCAGCACAGATTGATATACATTCGTTTTTATATAAATCATTATGATTTCATGTGTCTGCCCGTATATACCATACAGATGTAAGTGGGAAACACAAGTTAATTGCTTCGCCACACATTAAATATCAACGCATATCGGATCGACCACAGCTGTCAACTATCATTATTTGTTTTGCCATAAAGATAGAGATATCAATTTATTTAGCATAATTTGCAAATACAAATCGTTTGTGGAGCCACATAAATATTCTGGTGGCAGGATCGAGATAGAGCAGTCAAGTGGCATTTTCCATATGATTCGTACGATTGTGGCCGGAAATAAATCAATGGACACCCAATGGGTATATGGCAGGCGGTGGGCGGTAGACGGTAGGCGTGGGTTACATCTACGATATCTTGCCTATGATATATGTATGCATGCCACACTCTCATACGAGTATGGATGTTTGGATGGGCCACCAACTGTTGCACGCGGTCGAGCCGGAGTCCTGAGAGTGTGACAGGCACTCCACTTGATGCACAACAATGAGCAGAGTTATTGTTATTTTATGCTAATACCGCCTGCCCGTCGTGCAGCTCAAGAATGTACAAAAGAAATTAGCAAATGTAAAAATATAAAAATGGAGGAGGAACAGAAAGAGAGGGGTAGCGTGCAAGGCAGAGGCAACTGTTGACAGTTATCCTGACACAAACACGCATTGTAATGTCTAACAAGCTTCACAATGGCATCCGTGGCGGCCCCAAACATCGCCTGTCACTCAACGGCCTCCGAGTCCTGCTGACAGCCCCGTCCCGACCATACTCACACTAATACCCGTACCCGTACCCATACGTGTATTTCCGAGTACAAATGTGTGCCCTTGTGCCCGCCTGACTTGTGTCATTTACATATTCACACTTGTGCTTCTTAGGACTGAACTTTAGCATCTGGGGGCTATGATATATACATACATATATACGTATGAGTGCGTCCCGTCCCATCAATAGGCTAAAGCCCGAAAATGGAATTATGAAATTGCTCCTGGCTCTGACACATGACATTGTCTTGCTTTTTGCCTGCCTGGCGCCTGGCGCCTGCGGGGCATCCTGCTGTAATGCAATTCTCGACATTAAATGCATGCCAGTGGGGCCTAAAGGCTCTGGCAAATTCAATTGCCACAAAAAGAGTGCAAAATGGCTGAACATAACGGATTCAGTTTGATGCAATTTGCATTTAGCCAGCGCCTAACATTCTAACATTCAGTCAACAGAGCTCTGTTACCGTTCTCTCTCTCTCTCTCAGTTTCGTTGTGTTCGGGCCATGTTTATTGCGCACAGCACACAGCTCATTCATAAAAGGCGGTTCGTGCGGAGAGCACTCTCTGAGAGAGCCAGGATTGAGTTGTAGGCGGCTGCAATAAATACAAAGGATCCAGCATCCGCAGCAACAGTGGATGTCGCAGCGTGGAACTTGGTGGGTCGACGAGATTCGGCAAAGATTCAGTCAGTCATCGCGTAGCCGCCGTGTGTGACAGACAGTCTTACGACGTCTGGATTTGGAATGTAGTGGATATTTAAAGCTGGAGTTTTTTCGGGAGCCGAGTGCATTCAATTAACATAAAATGTAATTAGAGGCGTTCGCTTTTCATTTGAGCTCTCCGGGTCTTTATATTTTAATTAAAAGCAAACAAGTGTAAAGTGAGACCAACAGCGGCAGCAAAACTGTAGAACATTGTGAATAAATAACTTATGGAATTTAATAGGCCGACTGCACTTGTAATTAAAATTCGATCATGTTGAATGGAAGTTGTCGCAAATTGAACATAAATTAAATATGGACTCTACTCTGCCAGGCCAGGCCCCTGTTATAAGTGATGGCTGCTACTTGTGTGCTTGTGTATCTTGTGACTGTGTGTGTCTCTGACTGAGTGTGGGTGACAGCCTGTGTGTGTTTGTGAGTGTGTGAGAGTGTGAGAGTGCCGCTGGCGTAGCGCTAATTTCTCACACTTCAAACGCTACCGTCCCGAACGTCCCGGCAATGGACTTCCGCCTGTGCCTGCTGCGGAGGCTTCCGTTTTGTTTTTACTTGTGTGCTCTTTTCCCTGATTTTCCCGATTTCCCACTCCCTATACCTGTGAGAACGGTTGGCTCCAAGTGTTGCTGTTGTTGCTGTTGTTGCTGATAGCCTGGCTTAGCTTTGTTTGGGCCTTTGCCAAAAACTAAGGATAGAGCGCGGGCATTCAGCCAGGCTTCAGGCTGAAGCACGGACAGCTTCCTCATTCTTTATGATTAGTTAATGGGATTCAATTTCATTTGAAATTGTCCGCCACAGAGCGTAGCAATCGCAGCTGCCGCAGCTTCCTTTCACTGATTACATAAGTCACGTTCTTGGGGAAACACTTGTTGGTTGGTTCGTTCGTTCTCCCCGCAGAACGAGGCACGTAGCCCAGCGGGCGAAAAGAGGGGGGGTGAATCACAGTTGTGCCATTACGAACTTGGCAAAATGAATTGAGTATAGGCGGAGGAGGCAGAATCCTCGTATGGCAGTAGTTGAGTTTACATTTACATTCAGCCTCCATAAATTGATTGGGTGGGTGGGTGCGAAAAGCGTTGCCTGCTTATGTGGGCACGCCGGCACAGCAACAAGAGCAGCACCGTGCGATGTGCGAGTAAATGCAAAATTTCCCACTAAAGTGCCGACACGGAAAAGTACGAGTATACAAGTGTGCATTCTAAGAATAACAAAGAAGACAAGTGGGATAAAAACAGCAACGGTTACGGTTACGGTTACGGTGTAAAGTGCCACAGCAAACACAGCCAGAAAGCAGAAGGAACAAACAAACGAACGAATACCGAAAGCAACCCCAAACAAACATCGGTGAAGGTTGTCCCACGGTGTGGTGTGCCCCTCCAAATCCGGAGAGTGTATGTGTCCGGGACTGAGTGCGGCTGTGTGGGTAAGAGGGAGTGCCGAGAGGCAAGTGCAAGAAATGTGCAAAGTAATGTGCTGCAACTAAAGTGAAATGCCATCCGTGAAATCCCCTAAAAGTGAAATTCTTCCTGGGATTATTAGAAGCGACAGCGGCAGCTACAGCTACAGACCAAGGAGCACCACAACCAGCTACAGGATCATCGGAACTACCAGCAGCAGCAGCATGACAAACGGCCATTCCTTGCGCCTCCGTCTCCTGCTGTTGAGCAACATTTTCGGATTACTCAGCCGGACCCAGGGTGAGTCTCTCCATCAGCGGCTTAGCCGACTCTCTTCGCCGCTGATTGCTTTCCCTGAATTATGGAATGGCAGACGGAATGAAAGGCAGCCTTCGTTTTGCAGCCTTATTAAATCTGTATTACATAAATCACAGCAATCGTTTCGCTCTGCTCTGAATTTTTACGAGCATTTTGCGCTTTTACATTTTCCATTTCGCAGTCGCCATTCACCATTCACCATTCGTCTTTCGCCAATTTTATGTCATAATGAGTGCAGCCTTTTGATTTAATGACAACTGGCAGCCATAAAGGAAGCCCATATACATATACATATACATATACATATACATATACATACATATATGTATATAATATAAATACGTACAATATACAGGGGTGGTCAAAAGTATTTACACAACGAGTTTTTTTTTGCATGTTTAATTTCAGGAGCTTTTCCTGTGGTTGTTGAAAGCTAAATAAAAAAAAAAACTTTTAGGCCAAAAAGATTGATCTACTAGCAATTGAATGAGAGAAGAATTGGAAAAGATAACTGTTTGTACGAATAAGGAGAAGCAAATTAAGTGATGCTTATCAGTTGTCAAAATTATTTACACACATTTTTAATGCTGCAGAAGTATTTACACAAAACTTTAAGTTAATTTTTTATTATGATTTAATGATTTTTTTTTTAATTTGTTGGATGAATAATAATAATAATGATTAATATTTTGTAATTCCACCTTTGGCATCAATAACTGCTTGCAACCTGGCTGGTACTGATTCCACTAAGTGGCGAGCATATCCAAGTTCCAATTTCGACCAAATTTCCTTTACTTCCTCGATGGTAACGTCGCGTTTTCGGTTTTTATCAATTGTTCTTTGTCCTTTAATAAGCGACCAAACATTTTCTATGATATTGAGATCAGGGCTCTGCGCGGGCCAGGGAAGAACAGCCACATTGAGATCTCGTAAAAATTTTGTAGGTGCCGATCCCTTGTGGCATGGAGCATTGTCTTGCTGTAAAATCCAGTCGGAGATGGGAAATAGCCTGTCACCAGACACAAAAGCATGTTCATTCAGTATAACAAGATACCGGGTCTGATTCAGAGTGCCTTCTATTGGAACAAAGTCTCCAAATCCGTAGTAAGACATGCACCCCCAGAACATCACTGTGCCTCCACCAAATCTGTTTAATGGTTGCACTGCACTTTGTTTTTTTGCTTGTCGTAGATGCATAAATCTTTTACAGAATGAGCCTTGGAACTGGAAAGCTACTTCATCTGTCCATAAAACATTGTACCAAAACTCCTTTGGTTTTTTAACGTATTCCAATGCGAATGAGAGGCGTTTTGCTTTATTTGCCTTGGAAATTTCTATTATTTTTCGCCTGTATACGTTCGTATGTCGATCTCCTTCAATCTCCGACGTATTGTAGCATCACAGACTTTTTTGCCAATCAATTGTTGCGAATCTGCAGACAATTTAACTGGGCTTATCGACGGATTTTTATCGACTATGCCAATTAAACGTCTACATTCCCGTTCATCCATCGCTTGTTTCCTTCCACTTCTTTTTAAATTCTGTAAATTTCCATTCGTGTCCTTTTTCTTTTCCAGATTATAAACGGTTTTTCTACAAATTTTGTAAGTTTTGGCCAGTTCCGACGCTGAAACCCCGCTTTTAAATTTTGTAACGATCTCGGATCGAGTTTCAACAGACAACTCCTTTGTCTTCACCATTTTACTAAGTTAATTTTAAATTTTAAATTAAATTTACTTATTGCAACTGCAATAAACGAAAAAACGACTGCACTAAGTCAAACCAAGTCTAAGAATAAGCTCTAATTTGCATTGTGTAAATACTTCTGAAGCAATGCAAATTTGTGTAAATACTTTTGACAACAGTTCACATGCTTCTATTTTTAGCCCATTAACAGTTATTTTTCCAATTCTTCTCTCATTCAATTGCTAGTAGATCAATCTTTTTGGCCTAAAAGTTTTTTTTTTTATTTAGCTTTCAACAACCACAGGAAAAGCTCCTGAAATTGAACATGCAAAAAAAAACTCGTTGTGTAAATACTTTTGACCACCCCTGTATGTTTGTGTGTACGTGTGCTGCTTTTATGAGGCTCGTGATTTATTTCGTATCTTATTTTTATGATAATTTATCAAATATGCATAATAAAATGCCGCCGCTTATGGCCTAAATTTAATATGAAAGGTGGCAACAGCTTGCCGATCAGGACCATCTTTTACACAGAGTACATATGTATTTGTATGTCTCTGCTGGTGTGTGTGGCATCTGGCGTGAAAAGTCAAATCAACCTGGGATTATTTCGCATTTGTTCTTGGCTTCTCGCAGCTTTACCATTCGAGTATTTAGATGAGCACGACGACTTCAACTATGACCTGGACACGGCCCAATCCCAGGCCAAGTACGACGCGCGCCTTCTGTCCCAGCAAATGCTCAGCGACACCGAGCTGCGCCAGCAGGCCGGAGCGACAGGCCTCGAATCAGAGTCCACCTTGGACCCCCACACTCTGAGAGCTCAGGGAGGGCGCTCTGATGGCTCAGTCGAGGATTTGGAGCCGCACAGTCGGGCAGCCGCCTGCTTCACTAACGGCCACAAGTACACACATGGACAGAAGGTAAGAATTTGAGGATGAAAGGGTGCAGCGTACGATAGGTAGGGGAAAAGAAGAGATGTGCAATTGAAAATGGTTTTCCTTTCGCTTGGTCGGTTAGAGAGCACTTCATTTCGCTTTGTCAAGCACAGAACATGTTTTCTTCTCGATTATCGCACCACAAGTTGAAGTTGGTTCATTCAAAATTAAGTGAACACTCGGATTAAGCATTTTCAATTAGGTCTAAACATGATACCGTTTGATATTTGCTGCTGTCTGTGGCTGACTCGTGGCTTTCGCTTACGCATCCATTATGCAGCTCGGCTCCATCCAGATGATTGATGGCTGCTATCGTGAATACCCAAGCTGCTGACCATTTAAATTTCCCACTTGCACACTTTTCCACACTTTCAACCATTTGCTGTAACCTTTCTCATCCGCTTTCGGTTCAGGTGCCGCGCCAGGATGCCTGCGAGGTGTGCCTCTGCATGGACGGAGAAATCTTCTGCTGGTGGGAGCGCTGCGGTTAGTTTTCCCGCCATTATGGGCCATGCATAATATAACAAGAAACTTTTGCCTTTTACCTCCTCCGCAGATAAGACCAATGCAAACAAGGTGAAGGAAATGGCGGCAGGAAACGACAAAGACAACGACAACGACAATGGCATTGGCAATGGCAAAGTCAAAGCCAATGGAGGTGGGGTTATTTCTGGTGTTGGCTTCGGCTTTGGCTTTGGCTTTGGTGGTGGCGGTGGCGGTGGCGATGGTGCTGCTGCTGGTGTTGGTGACTATTCAGATCCATATCGCTATGAGAGCACCACGAGAAAGTCAACAAAAGTGCATAAAACGGCTGGGAAAGTTGGCAAGCGGCGCAAGCATCGTAGGAATCAAAAGAATTTTAATGACTACGAAGTTTTCCAGAGCCACAAGCAGCAGCAGCCGCAGCAGCAGCCACAGGATTATAAAAAGTCAGCCATAAAGCAGCAACAGCAGCAGCAGAAGTACGAGCATCAGATACAAAAACAAAAGACTGGCGATGCCACCAACTACAATATAATCAAGCAACACAAACACGAGCAGCACCAGAAGTTGCCCGAGAAGGAGCAGCAACAGGAGCAGGAGCAGGAGCAAGAACAGAGTGCTGTAGCCCCGCCAGTTAATCAGGCGGCGGCAAAGAAAACGCATTATCAACAGCCAGCAACAACTATTGCCACGCCCTCGCACCAGCAGGAGCAGCAGCAGCAACATAGCTCCCATCCCCACAAGCCTCCACATTCGTCCAGCAAGATCTTAAATTTCCCCGAAAACTTGCCGGCCCTGCTTTATTACGACTACAAGACGGAGGAGCACGAGCACCATCAGCATCAGCATCATCAGCAGCACTTGCTGCATGAAAAGCAACGCTTGCAACATCAACAAGAGGCGTTGGCCCGACAAAAGCCACCAGCAGATGCAGGCGTTGAACTCCATACCGACTTGGGCGTTGATAAAAACTTTGATGATGCGGAAACCGACAGCGATATTTTGCCAGAGCCGCCAACAAAGCGCCCCAAGGCAGCGCCCACACAATGGACAACGAGTAGCAGCCCCAGGAGCAGCATGGCCAAGGCGTTGATGACAAACCAGGCAGCGACGTCCACAACGGCGACAACAACAACAACAACAACAACAATGAGAACGACTACGACGACAGGAACAAATGGCAATGCGACGGGCAGACTGTCTAGTCGGGACAGTGGAAGAGCTGAAGCTGAAGCTGGAGATGGGGCCACAGTTGCAGCCACAAATGTGAGTCTAGTCGGACTGGAGCTGGGTTCATTCGCTTGGCTGTACTTTTTGCTGTGTAGCTTTAAGAGCCACAGCCAGATGGAGGGTAGCCCAATTAGGATTTGGGCCAGGCCACTTCATTGGCTCTCCCCGCTGACAGGCCTAAGTTTGCGGTCGCGCCGTGACCAGTCACCCTGAAAGGGTCTTCGTAATAGGGTTTTTCGAGCTTGACTTGGTTTATTATTTACTATGCAGTCAACTTGAATTAACAGTATGTTTTGTTTTTCTCTTCCCTTGATGCTGACCAGCTGCAACCGGATAGGAGCGGTGGCAAGGACCTGGATGATGCGTTCCATCGGTGGCTGACATCGACGGAGCTGAATGCTGACAGCACAAACACGCCGGACGATGCCTCGGAGCAGGAAACAGCAGCATCGACAATAATCGATGATGTTGCCATCAGAAACAAGAGTGACAGCGGCAGTGGGAATGGGAGAAGTGGCAGCAGTAGCAGCAGCAGCAGCAGCAGCAAAGACAATGCCAGGAACAACAACAATGTTGCCGATGCTGTCTTCTTCCGCAGCTCGTACAATGATTACAGCAGCGAATTCAATGGGAGTGTTGTCAACATTGACATTACACTAACTGCAGTTGATGTGCATCCCCGTCGCCAAACGGATTTAATTGCAAATGGCAACAGAACGTCACGTGTGAGCACAGAGGCAACGCCAGGAATCGCAGAAACTCCAGGAACAACAGCAGGGGCAACAATGGACCCACAGGCGACCGACAGGAGGAGCTCCGTAACCATCGCCAGCACCACCAGACCACCCACCAGCATCAGTAACAACAACAGCAACAATCAGGATCAACCTCAGGCGACTGGCAGCCCAGCGGTGCCACCGTATACACTGACAACGATTATAACAACAGTGCCGCTGGCACCAGGGCGTATGTGCAATGTTTTGGGTAAGCAAGACAGTAGAGTCGACGAATGCCCCGGAGATTAGTGCTAACGAAAATAACCCCCTTCCCATTTCCCTTCTTCCATGCTCCTGACAATTGCTCACTTCCTAATCCCATTTCAAATACAATCCAAACTCCGTTCCGTTTGTTTTTGCAGGCAAACTGTATAAAATTGGCGACATTCTGCCCCAGGATACGGGCAACTGTCTGCAGTGCATTTGCACGGATGCGGTGACGCCCGACGAGATGCCGAGCGTCACCTGCAGTCCCCACAACTGCCCGCCCCTGGTGCTGCCGGATCTGTTCGATGCGACTGGTTACTGAGGTTACGGGCTGGTGCTGTAAGCTGGGTGCCGGGCTGGGTTCCGGTCACAGGGATGGCGGCAATAATGAAATGATTGCATTGATCAAGCCGTAAATTCGATTGGCAACTGTAAGCCGCAGCTGCAGCAGAGGAAGCGACTTGGGTAGAGCTAATTTTCAGTCAGACTCTCAACTAACTCAAGCATAAATTGTATGGATTTCAATGTAAAGCCCTCCCTATCACGAGTGTCTCTAGGCACTCTCTAAAAACGAATACCTATCAGCAAACATACATATATCTGATTCAAATATACGAGTATATACCGATCAACCGAGAGAGAGAGAGAACGGGCGTAGTCTAGTTTGTAAGCTGAATATTTATGCATTTTATAAGAATGCGAAGTATCTCTCTCCTTCAAGTAGTGGATCAACACCACAATCCCCAAAAAGCAAGCAAGCAAGCAACCAACCATTGATGTATACAGCAGTAGAAATTTTAAAGAATTTATAGATGTACTTCTGCAGAATATATACATACTATACACATATATAAAAATCGATACCTACATATACCTATAACTATATCTACGAGTATGTATGTATTGAATTCATTTTCGACTTCATTTCATGACTGAGACAATGGAGTGCAAGGTTTTTCATATACGATTTATCGGAGGGGGAAAAAGCAAACATACAAATACAAGTATAGGCAACTAAATCTATAACGAAAAAAACTGAACAATGACAAATAATGAATTGTGTAATATTATAATTTATATGTTAACGGAATCAGAACAATGTATGTATTCCTTATTTGCTCACGAAATATCATTTTTTCACGCTTCCGTTGGACATTTAAATATACGTTACGAAAAACCACAAAATATATTAGATATTACGAATAAATATGGAAATTGTTTTAACAAAGCTGAAAGGAGCAAAGAAAGACACCATATCGAGTAAAACTAACAGTTTTAAGACACAAGACCCCACAATACAATATAGTATATGTATGTTTAAACTTTAATGATACGATTATATGCATGTGTGTATACTTAGTGAGTCTCATATACATGTCTACGAGTAGTTTGAGAATCGAATGAATGCAGATTTTTCAAATGACTTCGTTTTACGTTCATTTAATTTCAAAGCAAGTTTAGGCGTGATAACCATCGATTAATTCGGAGAGAGTAAAATTAAGTGAACTATACTTGAAAAGTAGACATTTAAATTTCGAATACGTACATACATACGTATATATGGATAAAGAGAAATCCAAGCCGAGCTCCATGGAGATTTATACGAGTACACATGTGTGTGTGCTCGGCCAGCTCTAGTCAAGAGCACTACACAGAAGTATCAAAATCAAAATGAAAATCAAATAAAAATACATATACGTACGTAAATACACATGCAAAAATATTTAATATTGATGTTCCACAGAAGAAGAGCAAAACATAGAACAAATTGAACTTCGGTAAAAGCGAAAGCACCACTTAAATATGCGTATACATACGAGTACATACATATATATAAATATATGGTATTTGTGTAACATAAATGTAACTAAACTAGCTAAAGCTCTCTACTAATACGAATACATGATACAGATACACTTGCGTTCAAATTGATTTTGTGTGTTTGAATCAAATTGAAATCCAATTGACGTGAATAAACCGAAACCCATCTAAGGACTTACATATGCGAGTTGTTTCAACTGTTTTGGGGGTTGCGGCTGGAGCTGGGGCTGAAGCTGAGGCTGAGGCTGAGGCTGAGGGAAAAAAACTAAGCCGATCAAAAGGTAAGTTCACACTTGATTCCCAATTAATTTATTCACTAACAGCTCGATGACTAAGTAGTGGGTATGTACGTATCCCCGACAATAAAATTTCAATCGCTCTCGCTCCCCGACTCGAATCCAGAATCCTCGTCCAGATCGTTCTGCAGCGGATCGGGCTGGAGCCCTGCTCGTGGCAAGGGCAATTGTGCAGGTGCGCGTGGCAGCTGCAGGTGACCTGGCAGGTAGGCAGCAGCGGCCATGGCAGCAATAGCTTGATGTTCGCGCTCAGCATGCATGATCATTCGCCGGCGAGCCTCCACGTCGCGTGTCAGTTGCATCGAGAGCTGGTTGTCCCCGCTGCCGTCCATGGCTAGATTAATGGCTTGGGTGAAGGCTTCCGAATGAAAAGGGAATTCCAAATAGGGCTAACGATTGCTTTCACTAATAATTTTTTTGTAAATTTTGATTTTGTCTGAATCAAGTTTCGATTAAACTAAACAAACTGTTTAGAACGTGGCTGACAGTACCCGAAAATACAATGCTACTACGGAAATTGCCAAACGCAGATTGCTTGCTTCATATTGTTTCATAAAACACATCGAAACTGTACGGTTCCAATACGCTCACTCATATTCGGGTTTTATTAGTTTTTCGAGGGTGTGGGTGCCATTGGAGTGGGGCTACCATTCGACGCAATCATGGCAGTGCCAGTGGCAGTGGCAGTGGCAGAGCCAGAAAACCGCAGGGCACTTTCCACATTCCAGCTGTGCATGTGTAAGCGGAAGCGGAAGTCCCGCCATGCCGTTTCCCAGCGAGTTGACTGACCGCATAAAGCCATTTGGCCATTTGGCCATATTGGACAGACCCCCACTCGCCCACAGCCACAGAGCCCCACACGGAAAGGGGACTTTGGCTCTAAAGCAGTCAAATCAGGCCACACAATACTTTGCTGTCAATTTGTGATAGCGGCAGCTTTATTTGAAAATATGTGCGACTCTATTTTGTTGGGGCGACAAGCCGACTTTTGTGGCCAGCCCGGATGACAGCTGGCTTCTGCCAGTTGGTCGGTTGCTTGGTTGCTTGGTGGCTGGGTTGCCGGGTTGCCGGCTTGCTTGGTTGGCTGATGTTACGTGTGAAATTGAATATTTACGGGAGGATTTTTCCCGCGTGGATAGCGATTTCAGTTAGGGACAGTGAATGGTTTGGCCTAAAGCGATTTGCAATTCAATGGCAAAAAGGAAATGGAAGCCAGCAAAGGGATCTCAGCCAGGATGCATTTCGCAGCTCAGCCTTAACCGCATTTACTTGCCCCAAGCTCATTCACGGCATTAATATTTTTTAAAATGGCCAAAAGCACTCATTTCCTCCCGAAGGTCTCTGCTAATTAAATTCTACACATATATGTATATATTCACTATGTGGAAATTGGCTTTGCCGGGGCATATCTGGGTGTCAGGGAATCAGGCATTATGCGCATTTTTAATTACGCTGCAAATTTGCATTTGGATTGCGCATTTTACAGGCTGATAAGTCGGAATAAAGGCAACAGTTGTGCAGGGTTAAAGCCAGAGCCAGAGCCCGAGCCCGAGTCAGAGCCACTATGGTCCGCGCACATCCGAGTGCATACTCGTACTCGTATATATTTTATTCTGAATTTGAGAATGTGTAATTTTCAAGTTGACATCTTTTGTCCCAAACCAGTGACCTCGTTGCACACACCACCCCACAAACTCATTGCGAGCTGTGGGTGGGAGCCGCCTCAAGCGGATCCATAGCACACTTTGGCGGGCACTAGCCACAAAGGGATGGCCCAGATGAGAGGGGGATGCAGCGAACAGAAAGAGAAAACTGCATTTCCATGCATACCAAACGCAAATCAGAGAAAGTTCAAAAACGAAGGCGAATCGCGGTGCGTTCTTTATGCTTCTGGTATGCCTTCTGGCCATTAGAATACGGCTGGTGTTCGATTTCTGACCCTCAAGTTGTGCTTTCCATTCTTCCCTAGCCGGCACTCCGAAATTCTCCTCTGGAATAGCGAGACTTAATGGCGCGGCTTGCTATCATATTTTCTATTTCGACCGAACACGTGTTGAAAAAGGGTTTCACACCCACAGTCTGGCGTCCACTGACGCGCCGTTTAAGCCATTTTTAATGACAGGCTCTGACGGCTAACTGCTAACGGCTGACGCCTGCTGCCTGACAACGGCTAATGATGGCGGCTAGCCAAAGTTTTGTGGCTTTTGCGGATGAAAATTGAAAACGCTTGCGTTCATTAAAAAAAAAATAAAACTTGCTTAACTAGAACGTGTCATGAGGCAGGTGCCACATTAATTAGTGTGAGCGCCCACACAGGCACACGCCACACACATACACGTGAATATCAAATGAAGATTTCCTGAGGCAAGCGGTTTAATTTCGCTAAGATGTGTCGGGATGCAATTTGGGTCAACATGACACGAGTAAAATTATATTCCAGAATGCATTTCCCTTGTGCTCCTTGAGATATAGAACACTGAGCGGAGGGGACAGCGACGACATCGGGTGAGGGTAGGCATTTTGTGTGTGTAGGGAAGGAGCGTGTGTGATTGTTTTCCGCGCCCTAGGAAACCGACTCGACTCCTTTGATATTTTCAAATTACATTATAATTAACCAGCTGAATTATTAGGTATACCACCCGGAGGCAATTTTCTTATCCTGACTATTATGGCATTTGTAGCCAAAACCTTTGATCCGCACAGACTATCGAATGCCCTGCCACTCCCGGCGAATATCAGTCATTCAATGGGAGGAAACGCGAGAGAAAACGTTCCGGTAGGAGTATTTATGTACACATATGGAAAGGTCACACGTCGCCCTTACGCTCATTTATGAGCATTCATCATTCTTTTGGCAGCGTGTGTGGCCCACGAACGGGAATCTCACAAATGCCTAACGCCCCATTGTTGCACAGGGCCCACACCCATACCCACAGAGACACCCACTCGTACCTCTATCCGTATCTCTCGCTCTCTGTGATGTGTCTGTTACCTTAGGCCAGGGCGAGAGCAGAACGGAGCAGAAAGCAGAACAGATGTGCCTTTGTGTTGGAGGCGAGACTCCAAGTGGTATCCGAGAGCCGAGCACACAAATTAATCTTCTTTTGCCGCCCGCACATACACGGCCCCGGGGCCAGACTTAAGTTTTCCGTCTAAAAGCATTGCTCAAAGCGCTTTCAATAGTTTCAAGGCGATAAACGCACAAAATGACATTACTTATGGCATTAGCATACGGAAATCAGGGAAGAGAAGGTGTTGGGGATAATTCTCTGAAGTGATAAAGAAACCACCAGTCCCAACAGAATCTTCGCATAGGTCAGAGTTTTCTCCATTTGAACTTCTCAAATCAAAAAAACGAAGTTGGCCTTTAAGTATTTTCAGTCTGAGAGTCACTCAGCTTAAATTAAATGACTAAGGCCAAAACCAGCTCTACATTAGTGATTTAACGGTGACTCGGGGAATGCAAACAGTCCCGTGGTCAATGCTGTGGTGTTGTGGCATCTCCATCTGGAGAGAACATTCCAGATGGGAGCTTTCCCCCTTTCGGTGTCTATAGAGTATTTACAAAATGTCATTCCTCGTTAGCAATCGTCTCTTTTCCTGGTTTCTTTAATTACGCAAAGTAATTACGAACTACTGTTTACTGCTTTCAGTTTTCCCTTCGGCCAACTGCAATTTATGGTCGAGTGCGTGAAATTTGGCTTGTTGATATGGTCAATATGTATATGAGTGTGCATTATCTCGTGTACATTTGTATGTAAACACAGACAGATGACTTCTTCTTTGTGGCCAAAGTGATCAGTCAAGAGTCTATTTGCCTGCTATTTCCCCAATCTCTCTCTGCAAGTGGATGTTGTACTGGCTAAAACGATTTCAAAATGAACGAATTGTGTAATTTTGCAGCTAATAGCTCTTGACCTGGTTGGACACACGTTAACGGGAATAGTTGACTCCATCAGCACCCCCTCCTCTCGCACACTCATGCGCCCCTTCTGATTTTGTTCGCGGAATTTTCGGTTTGTTTTGCAGGAGCGCGCAAATATGCAAAAGCGCAATTTTGTGTTAAGTTGGCTTTGTTACCGTTACCGACTCTTCCTCCCTCTCTCGCCGTTCTCTCTCTCTCTCTCTTTCTCTCTCTCTCTGTTTGTGCCTTGATGTTGCATACATTCAGGGCCCGAAAGGTTGTAGAAACATTTTATGCGACTGCCACAAGTTTGTTCACGAAAGTTGAAGCCTGTAAAACTTTTAATACAGTGCCTGCCAATTGTTGCCAGCTAGTACAGCTGTGTTGTGAACGTGAACAGTAACAAGCTTTTAGCGAATACACACATTAAGCCTTTTATTTGCTCGGTCTCGTCTCGTCCCTTATGAAAGGGTTCCCCGTTCAGGAGCAAAAGTTTTACATACACCTAAGAAGCTCATACCTACACTTAGTCTTAGCTTCACCTTCTCGTTCTTCTGCTCTTCCTCACTCACTCTCTCTCTCTCACTCTCTTTCTCTCTTAATAACGATTGGCCCAGGGAGAGGAGAGTGGAGGAGCAGTGAGTGCGGCCCCGAAAACAAATGAGGAAAATATGCTTCAATAACAAAACACTCAACACTTGGCAGCACAAAAAGCTGGTAAAAAGCTGGCAGAAAGCAGGTAAAAAGCATGTGAAAAGCGGACGAGTGCTAAAAGGAACAACGACCGATTTACATAAAGACCCCAAAATGGACAACAGACGGAGCCATGGCACAGACCCACACACAGAAGCTCACACACACTCGAAAGGTAGCAACTATTGTAGCAGAACAAGGTCTTGCCAACATTTAACATGCATGTTGCGGGGGAAAATGTGTCTGACTGAAAAAGAATGGCAAATATTTAAGAGCAAATATTAAATATC